GGGGCCAGAAGGCCGGTCGCTGGCGTGAGCCACATATAAGTGGATGAGAGCAGTCTTTGCAAAGTGGGAACAGCGAAATTTTAGAAGCCTATAATTTACAATTACAGCTATTTTCCAGATTGGTAAAATGCCATGGGTAATAAAGGTTTCATATGACAAGGAATTTGGCACAGAAACATCGATTTCATTCGTGAAGAAAGGTGATGGCCCGTCCACACCCAAGCTCTTAGTTAAGTGGTAAAATACAGGGCTTCGCCACTTGTCAAAGTTCATTTACTTTATTATAACTTGTGACTCAAAGTTATACTGTAAAAAATAGTCGGACTTACGAGCCATTTCGAAATCGTCGAAATGAAGCGCAGTGTTTTTGTTTTTCACAATGTCGTCCAGTATAGTCCTGTTCACATTCACATTCGCCATCGACAGGCTTCCCATGGACACATCTAAATCGATAGAAATTTTAAAAAATCAAAAAAAAAAAAGAAAAAAGGTCGGTAAGTGCTCACACTGGCTGCCTTCGATGTTGAAACGTCGATCGAATACGATGCCGGTGATATCGATGCAGATCACCAATTTGATCCTCCCGCGCATCCACACTTATAGAAATCCATATTACTAGTAAAGGAATAAAAAATACCGTTGATGACGTAAAGCTCATATATTATGATGTTTTAAAGACCTGAATTCGCATTTTATTGGATGACATAGAAGCAGTATTTAACAAACATTAGAAATTCGCCGCTGGACTCAAAAGGGGCGGGCGTAAAAATGCGATAACCAACAAGAGTTTGAAAAATGTAAGGAGATCGGATTTCGGAACGGCGAAATTCCCAACTTGCTTGCAGAACAGCTAGCATAACAACGTTGTAAGCACAACCTCAGTCACTACAGAAACGTGAAAATTTCCAAAATGAGAAACATCTAACGCTGGGTGTCGAGGGCCCAAGACTTTGCCATTAAATTAGAAGACAGTATGAACTAGTTCAAGAGTAACTGACTGAGAAAATGTTCTGATTGAGATGGTTATGGTAGCCGATACTCAATTAACGAAAGAATTCCAGATGATTTCATCGATGAAACCTTTGTGCACTCTTCAAAAAAGGAAAGTTGCAGTAAATCATTGTTAGTTTCGCCAAATCGGTTTAATTGGGTAAGTTTACTTTCTGTTTTTGGCTGTTTGTTTCGTCACGACATGTCTTTCACATTCTACATATCCAATGTACAATAATGAATAAAATGCAATAATAAACAAAAAAAATCAAATCAAATTAAATAAGTCTGACATATTCGCGGAAATCGAACTCTGTTCCAATTTATATATAGAATAGCCTCCAAAAAGCCTAATTGAATGATGTCGAAACATGAGCTATCGGATTTCTGAATAACTCGGGAAGGGTTTCATTAATGGGAAGTCGGAAATCGGTAAAGGAAAACAAGTAGGTAAGTATAAATCTTAGCCGAGTGGCCAATGTGTGAAAAGGAATGGCGATCTAAAAAAAATGTTGATCGTTGCATTTCTCTAATTGATCGATTTTGTTCTTATGTTGCAACATCTAAACTATTAAGCAGAGCTGGATCAGCGTTGACGGATGTGGTCACTACTCCCCAAAAATCGCATCGCGCTCGCCGCACCCGATCGCGCGCTTCGAAGGAAAAGGTCTGGATTTCCAGTGGAGGGATACGGTAATCGCCGCGGGATCACTGTCGCTTGCCGAGGGAATTCGGGAAAGTATTCAACCAGCCAGCTCATTGACCATTGTGCTGCTTTTAAGGGGTTCGTCGAGAGTGTGGTGCATTAGGAACGAAATGGTCGCGTCGCGGTGAGAGGGGCGTCGCGGGCGAAGGAATGTAGCAGTATGCAGCAATAGGTAAGAAATACAAGAACAAAAGTACTAATAGTAGAATTATGCATAAAATAATGATCGCATATCGGTTGAGCTGTATGAAGAACGCCAGAGCTGTAATAACGACGAATGAGTGGTCCGCGACAGCCGCGTGCGGCAAATCGATTACCCAAAATCGTTCCTAACGCCCGTCTCCCGTTCGTCGACGGTCCCCAATAAACACCTGGGATATCCAGATATCCGAAGAATGTTTTCTAAAGGTAAGAGGAAATAAGCTTCATACCTACGGCACCTACAATCACCCAAGCACAACTTGAAGCGCACCTATGGAGCGATGCTCGATCGAGGTTCAGCCCGACTTTAGCAATCTTATGAAAAGCTATGAGCATGAGAGAAAAGGATATCGCCATTTTGGCTAGTGGAGACGCCATGCATTTGTCTTCCATTCAGGGATCGTATGGGTTGAAGTAATATAAGTTCCATTTTATGGCGTATGCCACCAACCGGCAGATCTGCCTCTGTCCCGCAAAGTCGTTTAGCACAAGTCAACTGGTTCAACAGGGTCTTAAATGGGAAAGAAAAAGTAAGCGAATGAAGCACTGGTCCCCAGCATTTGACTCTAGTAAGACCACGTCGAGGTCTGAAATCACTGTAATACCAAAGTTGTATGAGTAAATAAAAATGACATAACAACAGACCGAATCAGAGTTTAAAAGAACAGTTAGAATCGTTACCCAGACGACTTTCTGAGATCGTCTAAAAAAGGGACCACTTCAACCCCAACTGGTAAGAACAGGGACAAGCTGTTGCATGTAGCAAAGTAGCAGCCGTCTCCAAAGGTGGTCTACCGAAGTCAAAAGCGGTGTGAAGTTTATCGGTCACTTCCAGGTACTTTCCTGATAGAATAGAGGGCTACGTGGAGCTCTAAGGTTGATTGGTGATCAAAGATCAGGGGCAGACCCAAGTTCGCCGAATGAGGCGAATCGAAGATCATTTGGGTCTAAACATAATGTGATTAGCAGACTCCAACTGAAGAAAATGAAGAAAACCTATGGAGCGCGAGCGATATCGCGTAGACCCAAAGCGGAGACAGGTAGGTACGTACCAGTATTTACTTTTATACTGATGATCATAGCTTTTATACAACAGAAAAATCGATGGGCAAGACATTATTTGCCTTTTTCGGACAATTCAGCTACCAATCAAATCTTTACTCGATCTGATGTGCATCATTCCTCAGCTCCCTATTTTTCGGATCAGGCTACTTTTTCATTTCCGTTCATGTTTGGGTGTACCATCACAAGACACGTTGGAATGAGAAAATAAGTAAATAAATAAATAAGATAATAAAATATGAGGTCCTCATTTTTAAATGATGATTACAGTATGGCAGACTTGTGTGACTTGCTTGTGTAACCAACTCATACAACATGTAGAGCTGAACCGGTAGTGCAGATTCTAGTGTCCTTGAGCGGTACCAGCTGTGGCGGCTTGAGATGGCGGATGGTGCTGACACCAGCCTGAGATCTGTTCGAACACTATAACAAGCTGGGCTAGCCATCAAAGTGGGCCCAATTAGATGATAAAAGACCGAGTAAAGGAGCGAGGAAGTGGGTGGAGGGAAGGACAAAAACAGTAAGATTCATCAGCAGGCATCCTAGAGCCACTGATAGCACTTTGCACTTCTATAGTAATCCTACAGCAACTGTCTAGAGACCTACTGGTACCCACTATTAGGTTCCCTCACATTTAAACCTGAACCGCTGAAGAAGGTGACGAATTTTTTATGTTTACATAGGTTCCAAAAAAATTAAATTCCCTGTCAGATCGAACGGCATTCAATAGAAACTTCATTGGCCGTAGCTTTCTATCACCCTTCGTACGTTTGACCTTCACACGACCAGATGAGAACTGTAACAAAAAATAAAACATAGGTATTAAGGTCTATGGGCTATCGATGAGAAAGTGCACCCATGGGTAACTTCGGGTGTGCCGATCTTTGTTAACTGGTAACTCTTACTACCCATAATCCCGTCAAGCGCAGAAACTGAAGGAGTGGTCGAAGCGCAAACCGGGTGGCATGTCGAGCGCATTAAAATTAGGGTGGCGACGAGACGAGAATCGGTTGCCACAATCCCCGCCGTTACCCCCCGTCAACCTCCGTCGCAAGCAGTCACAACTACCCCTTCTTGACCCTTGTAGAGAATTGATCAACGGAAGAAAAACGACGAAGAAATTGAAGTTCTGAAGGTCTCTTGATTGATTACTAGAGTAAGAATACAAGTTGCATAGGTTATTTTTCGGAGGATAAACATGAACAACGAGTAAAAGTGCCGATCAGCGTCCAAGAAGTTGTAATTCTCACAAAAGAAAAGTCTAGCACAAAATAGTTTACCTTGAATGATGTGAAGATCATTTTGGACTCGGCAGCTTTGAAAATATGTATAACCAGTAACTACTTTTTACCACTTAATTAAATACTCGAACATACATTTATCGTACTCGTCGCTTTTCCCTCCGGAGGCTAAGAGAATAAAACCTGGAATAGGTCTCTGAGCGTTGGTCTGCCCCCTTTATAAGATGCGCCACGCGCTTGGCCTCACTTTACGATTGCAGTGCAGTGGAATCGTGAAATGCGCCTGTGATCTCCACAAGGTTTTGTAAAGCCTGAGACTACACATATCCGGATAAGGTTCGTGACAAACTCGCACTCTCATATGAACACCACAAATGCCTATTGGCCCACAGAGGATGAGAGCACGGACGGATCTGTCCCAATTAAGACTCGGGACTAGAGTTTGAGACCTTAAGGGTGGTACCGGCGTTTTCTACCCTACCTCCTTCTGCCAAATGCTCTACCAACGTACATGAATCATGGATTTCAAACATATTTGATGAAATATTTTAAGCATAATAGATGAATTTCGTTGTCAGTGAAGGATCCTGTTCAGTACGCATGAAGCTCTCGAAAAAACTTGAAGCTGCTGTTAAGATGACCCTGAACGATTGCTTTCAAATGAAAAATTTAGTGTTTAAAGAAAACCCGGCGACACCCTCATGATTCGATTACTAAATCATCGGAGGGAGAAGTAAATTCTTATCATTCAATCATTCGAACAAATAGAAAATCGATATTTGTTCATGTTTACGAAATGTCGACTTCATATGGAATTCCGTGCGTAATATGATTGAAAAAGGTGCAGAATAACTGAATCTCATAGCACAACCGCATGAAGGAGAAACCCTTTCAATACCCACACTGTGGCAGTCCAACGGGCTCCGGTCAACACTTTCAACTTTTAGCTGCGGTACCCTACACCACTATCTTCTCAACGCATTGCTCTGTTAGGAATAATCCAAAGCTTCAGTGAGACAACCTCTGTGAGAGCTACCTTTTGAGAACGAGCATATTACTGAAGTAAATATAAGTTGAAAAATCCTGTTTGTAAGCGTAATAATGTAAGCGTAAGTCCTGTAATCGAAATTCTCAGTGTTCTTAGAGCTGTAGGCTTGCGGTCAGGGACAATGCAATCCTGTCGAGGACATCTAAGGCAGCCATTTTGATCTTCCGCAGCACTTCTAAGTGCTTGTTGAGTTACTAGTTTTGGCGAAGCTCTGGTGTTCTATATGCCCAGCTGTAAAAGAAAGATGGAGGGGTCCGTCCGAATAGTAAGCAATGATGTTGTGATTTGCTGAGACCCCTTCGAAATTGGCCTCGAGAATCTTCCAGGAAGGACAAGGCATACAACTATGGAAAATGTACTGCGAAGTCCCATGTTTCAGCACCTGCTTTGCCAACCGTCAGCTGGAAAAA